AGTAGTGGTGATTCTGGGTTGGTGTAGACCACTAGGTGCTCAAGAACAGTATAGCCTAGACCAGCTGGAGAGCAAGAAGAATTTCTGAGCACAGGCGGATCTAATGGTGCAGGCAGTAAGTGATGGTACCGGTAAATCCCTTTTCCTCTTAAAGTGCTGAGCCAATGGTACTGTTGGTGACTGCTGTCTCCTTTCTTTCATTGGGAGTGGGACCTGCCTCTTACACAGGTAACTGTTTTTGTACAACCCTAGCTTTCAGTGTCGACAGTGCCAGGCTATCGTCTTGTCTAGAAGCTCCAGACCCACACATAGTGCCTGATTTAGCAGAGGAAGGAGAGACTAAGCTCTTCTTAGAGGGCTTAGATGGGGACCTCTCCTGCTTTCCACAGAGGTGTTTTATCTTCATTACATCCATGCCTATCAGAGTCTTTAGCGCTAGGATCTGATGAGCCAGAACAGTGAAGCACCAGGTTTGGAAGGGCAAAAGAAAGTGGATCTTGCCGATATACAGAGAGGTCAGATTTCCCTGTATTAGGCTGTGGCCTCATGGAGAGCTCCATTTAGATGTCTCCCAAGTCGAAATTCATGAGATTGTCATGCACGAGCTGGGAAACAACAACAAATCTCACACTTAGAATATGTGACTCTGCAAAGCAATAGAGGCGGGGAAGGGGGGGGTGTATGTGAGTCATCAGCTGGGAAGACAAGGGGACAGGCCACACAGGACTTAAAACCAGGAATTTTGGGCATAATAGATGCCCCAGTCAGTGAAGGTGAAGGGAGAAGGGGAGAAAACTCTAACCCCAAACACTAAGTATACTCTAAAATTAACTAGTTAATTAATAGGAACTAGGTAGAAAAAACCTGGAAAAAATAGGCAGGAATACTGTAAAGCAGTAGACATTGCCAGAGTTCCGACTCAGACAATGAGTGGCAGAAAGGAAATAAAGAGATGGTCAGTCTGTGCTGCCCCTTATTCTCTCGGAGCATGGCACGAGGAAGGGCAGGGCAGAGGCGCAGATCAATGGATGCTGCTAGTGAAGAATCTTCCAGGCTCAGGCATATGGAGTTCATGCACAGTCACAATGAGTACCCATAGGAACCAGCACTCAGAGAAGAACTCATTCTTTTTGAGATGAAGTTTTTCCTGTTTGGTCTCAGTCAAAGACAAATTTCTTTTGGAAAGTTTTAGCAAAATTTCTTCAGTCAGCTTTCTGTTTTTGCATGTGTGTAGGCCTAACTTGACATAAATAAGACCTCATGTCTCCCGGGCTGTCAAGGTTCCTCCCCTACTCTGAACTCTAGGGTACAGATGTGGGGACCTGCATGAAAAACCTCCTAAGCTTATCTTTACCAGCTTAGGTCAAAACTTCCCCAAGGTACAAAATATTCCACCCTTTGTCCTTGGATTGGCCACTACCACCACCAAACAGATACTGGTTACTGGGGAAGAGCTGTTTGGAAACGTCTTTCCCCCCAAAATACTTCCCAAAACCTTGCACCCCACTTTCTAGACAAGGTTTGGTAAAAAGCCTCACCAATTTGCCTAGGTGACTACAGACCCAGACCCTTGGATCTTAAGAACAATGAACAATCCTCCCAACACTTGCACCCCCCCCTTTCCTGGGAAATGTTGGATAAAAAGCCTCACCAATTTGCATAGGTGACCACAGACCCAAACCCTTGGATCTGAGAACAATGAAAAAGCATTCAGTTTTCTTACAAGAAGACTTTTAATAGAAATAGAAGTAGATAGAAATAAAGAAATTCCCCCTGTAAAATCAGGATGGTAGATATCTTGCAGGGTAATTAGATTTAAAACATAGGGAACCCCTCTAGGCAAAACCTTTAAGTTACAAAAAAGATATACAGACAGAAATAGTTATTCTATTCAGCACAATTCTTTTCTCAGCCATTTAAAGAAATCATAATCTAACACATACCTAGCTAGATTACTTACTAAAAGTTCTAAGACTCCATTCCTGGTCTATCCCCGGCAGAAACAACATATAGACAGACACACAGACCCTTTGTTTCTCTCCCTCCTCCCAGCTTTTGAAAGTATCTTGTCTCCTCATTGGTCATTTTGGTCAGGTGCCAGTGAGGTTACCTTTAGCTTCTTAACCCTTTACAGGTGAGAGGAGCTTTTCCCTGGCCAGGAGGGATTTTAAAGGGGTTTACCCTTCCCTTTATATTTATGACACGGGCAAAGATTGGGAAGGTGAATGGAAGATTAAGTTGTATATAAGGGTGTAACAAGCATTAGTCTGCAGTCAGTTTAGCTAAGATAAGCAGGAACACCCTGGTACTAGAGACAATGGACAAGATAAATCTGGAATGTAGGTATCAGTTTATACATGAACAACACATTCACAGAGCATGCTGTACAGGGATTGGTTCCTGAAAAGTAACCAAGTCAATCATGAAGCACATAATGCTGAGAGAGAGAGCGTGCCTGCATTTGAGCCTGGGCATGTTAGGCATAGTGTTGCTGTATACCAAATTAAAGTGACAAATTCCAGAGTTGAACTGAGTTTTTGAGAATGGAATGGAAGAGACTCTCTGGGAATCCCAGCAATGTGTTTAAAAACAAAAAAGCCACACACATTTCTCCCATGTGTTCTGATCAGAAATTCTGTGCATGGATACCTCAGGTACAGCTGCACTTGTTCAAACTTGGATTATTTTGTAGACATTATTAAAATGTAAGTAGCAAGCTCAGTTTGAAGGAAGTAGGCTCAGTATTTTTGAACTTATGGCTGTTGAAAGGATTTTATGTATGTATAGAAGCATTTTGTTAGGTTCCATTGTTCTAGCACGTGCAGTAGATGTAATTGTTTTTATGCTCCCTCTAAAGTAAATTAAAATAATGAGGACATAGAGAAGCACTATGCTTAAACTAAACTCAAAAGTCTTTAAAAATCTACCAAACATTGCAAATACTATTGGATCCTGCACCAGAATTTCTCAAAAAGAGACAGTGCCCTCTGAGGAACGATCATCAGGCTGGAAGTCCAAAATTCCCAAATTCTATCATCACCTCTGCTCTGACTGGGCTTAATAATACTTTGCATTTACACAGCGCTTTACAAACAGCATTTAAGGCTTCACAAAACTGCTATGATGTTGTCAGGTTTTTTTTTCACATGGAATAAATATTAATTTGTCCACTATGGAAATGCAGCCACTTCTGGGATGAAACTTTTCAATTCTTTAATAAAACACAGAAACACTAGCCAATATTTTTAGAATAAAAAGTGAAGTAAACTGTATTAATTTGAAATTGGGGGAAAATTTTAAGTCAGCAGAGTATAATTGATATAATTATTGTGTTAATTACAATACAATTTTAAAAATCTTTTTCAAGTATTTTCTTCATGTCCACCTTAAAGGAACAAGGGAGATGTCTCTGGCTGCCCAGAAGTTCGTTGGTTGCTTTTCCTCTTTCTCTGAGAAAGTTACAAGTCACTAGATAAATATGCTTATAAACTATGGACAAAAAACACCTGAAAGGAAAAAAATGGGCTTTAAATAAAGACCTAGAAAAAGTCCCAGTTCCCCTGGTAATTTTTTTAATGCAGCAAAGATGCCAAAACACCAAGAACTTGAGGTCTGTTGATCATGACACCAAACATTAGAGTCTACACCTTGTCTTGGATTATAGTATCCACTTCCTTATTAGAACCCAACACTAATAAATCACTGGGAGTAGGTAAAAAAAGAAGGAAATATCTGGAGCTCACAACACATTAATGAATATTATGACAGGCCATGTAGTGCCTAATGTATCAAAGAAAGGAAATGTGGCCACACAGACAATAGATACAGATAGGAAAGACTGTTCCAAAGTAGGACACTTACAGTCTGCTGGACAGAGACTAAAGGAATGCACTGAAATAAAGAAGGATGGTGTGACAAAACTGCTAGTGGATACAGCCAGCGTACCATCAGCTTTTATACATCTTATACGATTCAAAAGAAACTCTCTACCTATCTTACCTAACTTCTATTTAACAGTAAAATAATTGATTAGCTCAACAGAAAAGCATTTTGGAAATTCACTGAAAAAAATCATAATGGACTGGGGACTGTAAAAGTATCTATGATGTTTGTTCTGATGCCACATTCTCTTATGGCATAACCAAGTGGTGGCAAGAGACAAAGAAAGGACAGAATCCTTACAGAAAGACTGACCCAAGGCAAACGTGCTTTTTAAAGAAAACTGCATCCATTTACCTCAGGAAAGCAATATAAATGAGAAATATTTCTCACCATGTTTAAACTGAACTATATTTGAAAACAAAAAGCCCGATTCTTTGTTGCCCTGCACCTTGTTTAGTCACTTATCCAGCACAAAGTGGATGTAAAACACTGCTACACTGATCTGGTAGCATTTTTACACCTATGCTGCACTCTTTGAGGAAAATGACTAAATAGAGTCTAGAGCAATAATTTCTTCAATGCAAAGTTTTTAAATTACAATTGGTATTTCTAAGATTACTACTGACAGTAACCATCTTACTGAAAATTCCAGAGAGGTTTCATAAGAGATATACACACACACACACACACACACACTCTCACAAGCTGGATACCTCTAAGCAAAATGATTCATGACTAGCTGGCTCCCAGCACCCTACATCCCCACTCCAGCAGAATGGCTCCACTGGAGCTGATCTACCAGAGCCTACATTATTTTTTCCTAGAAATCCCTATGAGACCAGTAGGGGGATGATATAAATTCCTACTCCTGCCCCTTGCTCACCCTACCTCTTCACCCATTGCAGACCCTGGACCTGAAAGTGTCCTCTGTGAGGTTTGAAGGAGAAGGGACAATGACACAGAGGCAGCTGATCCCTGCCTTCTGCAAAGAAGGTAGAAGATCAGTGAATGAATCTGGGGAGGTAGGGAAAGAGGAAGAAATTTAAAATTTCATTATAGTTTCCAATGAAACATAGTTCCATGAAATCTAAATTGTTGACAGGATGTCATGTACTTACAATTATTAGCAACTGTAAGTCCAACAAATGAACAAATAGGACGAACTATCTCAGGCTTTATACAACTTTGGAGCCAGTCTTTTGCATGTGGAAAAACTGAACAGCAAGTGTTTTGATTGTCTTCTGTAAAGATGTAAAACAAACAACAACAAAAATCTAAATGTAATATATAGTTACGTTTATAGACACACTACGAAAATGGAAGTCAGATGTCATTTTTTAAGTGTTCTTTTTACGTTTACTATCATCTTAATGTTATACAATTATTTACTAATAGTTACCATTTTGAGGATTATTAACACATGCACACAGAGTACTGCAGACTGAAGACCACAGCTGATAATACTGATTAATATTTTCATCTGACAGATTCATCTCAGATATTGAAAGAGTTGTTCTGTTAAGAAAAAGGAAAACATAATGGCAAAGATGACTTAGGACCTAAGTAGTCTGTTACTTTATATCTTAACAGAAACTATTTATTTACCTGAATAATTGTAGCAGAACACCAATGCAGCCTGTTTCTCTGATGTGAATTTGCCCACTCTCTATAAATGACCATATGCCAGTATTGGGAGAGACAATACATAATTTTAAACAAAGTATTAATTCTTTAAATGCCATTTAAATAGTTCAGTTTTACTTCAGCTCCCTTAGTATGCCATGTACAAACAAACAACGTGTTATGTACTTGCATCCTTAACTTGATAGCAACAAAAAGTGCTAACAATGTTCTTCAATTTTTATAAACTACAAGAACTTCTAAATTAATTGTTACTTTGTGTTTTAAACCATATGTTTGTACAGCTCCCAGAAGTATGGGGCCCTCTAGGTACTACTGTAACACAAATAATAATTAATAATGATAAAATGTTATGTCTCAATTTCTCTACAAAATATGAGAAACCCGCATTTTGCATTACATTGTTAAAAACTACACGTATGTTTCTTACACAAATAAGATAAAGTACTTTCAACATTTAAAAAAACCCAGAAACCTCTTCTAATGTTTGATCTACTTGTAATTGATTTTGAGATCACCTAAAAGTAATCCATGTCACAATTAATCTTTATATACTAATCTTACAAAATATTAATGAAATCCTGAAGTCATGATAAATAGTATGGGCTAACAACCAGCAGTGTGTTTTAAAATGAGTTACATAGTATTAATAATTTAATGGTATTTTTACAAGTGAATGCAAAATACTTACTGTTATTTGAAACAAGTACTAATATAACATAAACAGACATTCGTTTCAAATTCACACTAGAATTCTTATTAGTTAAGAAGAAAATGAGGTCTTCAAACAATTCAGATGTACACAAAGTTTGTTGACAGTAAACTGAAACCAGAAAATGAATTATATCAATTCCTATTAAGCCATTTCCAACTTCTATTTATTTAGGCAATAAAGTCTACAAATTACAGATTCATAAAAAGATTCTGTCTAAAATATACAGACTGACCTATACTGAAAGGCTGTCAAGAGAAAAACAATTTTCAGCACTGAATCAGATATTAAAATGTAAATATTTCATACCATTACCTATTTGTAGGGCAAATTTCCTCTCCTCCCTTCCCCCAAACAACATATCAGAGCCAGGCTGAAAAGTGTTTTGACCCTTCCATAGATGTAACTGACAGCAACCTTTCTCCCAATCAACAAGGTGATACATACCCTAACCATAATTGGGTCATTTTATGGAACAAAGTATCGGGTCTACTTGAAAGCTCCCATTCTAATTTCCCTCCTCATGGCATGCACTACTTCAGAAGTTCTGGGATATCTATTTCAAGACACAGCACATTAGAAATTCATCTTACCTAGCAATAGTTTAAACAGTTACTAGGTAGAGTGTAGCTTCCAGACTCACTCTGCAGGGTCAATTCTCAAATCCACTTGTCAGTAACTTTCAATGTAACTTGATAATATAACCTGCAGGTCTTTGCCTAGATCCTCAGTTGTGACCAACATGTGCTGGGCACATCTGAGGGAAGAGGGCTGCAAAAGAGCTATTTGCTGCTTCCTGATCCTGGAGCCAGTCCTGAGGCATCCTGGCCACAGGCATGATACTGAGCAACCTCAGACCATCATGCCAGTGGGGGACTGAAGAAGTGTACCACCCTGCTTTTGCCCACCCATGCCCTCTACATCAGAGCCTATAAGTGAGGCTGGTGATGTAGCGCCAGCCACTCCACCCCAAGGGATTCCCCCAAACCAGAAGAGTTCTCAGATGGCCATTTAAGCTTGCTTTATGTATGGCCCCTTTGAGCTTTCAGAATGGAGCAAGTATGGAACAGCAGAGTCAAGAATCTGGTCCCAGGCTGGTATCTGTTGTAACCTGATAAACAAATATATCTAAAATGACATTAAACCATTGATTGATATGATAAATACAGGCAGAGGAGGAAATCTTAAGTTTTCAGGAACAATAAAGTGCAGTGATATAGAACATGGAAAAATAAATAAAATTATATTTTACCATTACTCTCCATTACAACTGCTAATGTAAATAAGGCTGCTTCCTTTACTATGCAGTGCACACTTGACTTCGCAAGGTCATTTACAAACATTAAACCACCAATCTCTCGGAAATAATCACTTGCTTCACCTGTTGCATATGCAGACACAATGAATAAAAAGGGAAATTTATGTTAGATACTAATTTGGGAATCCAAAAACAATCAGAGCAGTATGAAATACATAACGTTTCCAAGATTTTATACCTCTACAGAGTCTTATGTCTCCTAGAGATTATTTTAAAAAGTGACAATGTTTAATATATACTATGAAAAAAATTCTACTATTACCATATTCAAATATCCGATAGGAAATAACAAATACCCCAGTCAAAATGTCATGGTAGAATACTTCTTACTGTTCTGTTGGCAGATTGAATAAATAGTGACCAAGGCCTCTTTTTGAGAAGCAGGGCTGTCCATTTGGTATTTAAGACATTCAAGCAATAAATTCAGATCTGTCTTCATCTCTGTGAGGAAAAAAACAGTTTTAGAATAATTTTACAGGAAATGTTTTCTTTTGAATGCATCTTTTAAAATTGACGATTAATTTTTATGTTAAGACTGTCATAAAAATATGGCACCATCTTCTATTTTGAAGAGAAAAAAAGAACAATCTGAAGCTGAATCTTTTTTGTTTCCCACCTAGCAATAAATGTTATGCACAGCCCAAAAATGTGTCTGAGTAGTTTTTGTTACTAGATGATTATTTTATTTGTTAATGGAACAATCCCCTTTTCATATTAACCTTATTGCCTTCAGTAACAATGTTATGCCCCAGTCAAAATGTTTGCAGTCTGACATCTCGTTCATTCCCGAGATGATGCTGAAGTTTTCTGAAGGCGTTACTGGCTGTCCCAATGCACTTCATAATGTCGTCGTCATCAATCACAGCATCTTGTGAAACAACACTGCCTAGGTAGGAAATTTGTCAATGACATTGACAGGTACATCAAAGAATACAACTGAAGTAGTTGCAATACTTCCTGGTTGAGACTGAACCATGATTTCTGTCTTCTTTAGGCTCATTGTTAAGCCAAAACATTTTGCTGCATGCGCAAAGCAGTCAGTGAGCAACTGAATGTCCCTGAGGTTATGGGCCAATAAAACACAACCATTAGTGAACTGTAATTCATGAATAACAGTTTTCATAACTTTTGTATTTGAATGCAGGAGATAAAGATTAAAGACACCTCTATCAATATGGTACTGCATATAAATGCTATAACCAATGGCGCTGAATGTGTCTATTAAAACAGCTGCAAATGTGATGCTAAATAACGTCAGAGCAAAAAAAACAGCCTTGTTTTACTCCACTGGTATCAACATAAGGAGCTGAGAAGCAGCCTTGGTCAAGAACACAAACCTGCATGAAAAAATATAATGTCAACAAACTTATCAGAGCAATCAAAACTTGTGGAGGACTGTGCACTGGCCATCTTAATTTACAGAGTCAAAGGCCTTAGTAAGATCAACAAAACCTATATATAGGTCTTGATTCTGCTCATGACATTTCTCCTGAATTTGCCAGAGTAGAAAGATCCCGTCTGAAGTATCACACCCAGGACAGATGCAACATTGGATTTCAGGCAATATCTTCTCTGCAAGTTGATAATCAGCCAGTTTAGCATGACTCAGGTGAGTATCTTTCTTGCAGTGGCAAGGAACTAGATCCCATGATGGTTATAACAATGCCTTGCCTTGATAAAAGGTGAATACTGGCATCTTTAAGTTCCTGTGGCACAGTTTTCTGTTCCAAAAACAGGAAGTAGAGGCCACTGAGCTTCCTGACAAGTCATGGCCCTCACATTTGAAGATCTCTGCAGGAACCATCTGGACCTGTTGCTTTGTCATTTGATATTTGCTTGACAGCTTTTCATACTTCAGATATGTTCAGTGGAATTGCAAGTTGGTCATGAATTGGAAGTTATTCAAGACCATCAACAGCTGATGCTGATGTGGTAGATGGGAAGTTCAGAACCTTATTAAAAAGTGTTCAGCTTGTCTTTTCAGAATTTGTCCACAGTAAGTCAGCAGCATTGACTCATCTGCATTCCAGATAGGGATGGTACCATTAGATCGCAGGCCATACATGGCCTTCACCTAATCAAAAAAAATTTGAAGTTTTTTGATCTGCCGCTGATTGAGGCTGCTCAGCTTTCATTTTCCATCAGCTATTTTTCCTGTGGTGAAGCTTAGCTTGCATACTGCACTTTGTATATGAATAAGACAACTTTTTAATAGATCATCGTTTATCCATAACACGTGAAGAGTATACATGGATGTCAGGAGTTTCTTTATCTCAGCATCATTTTAATCAAACCAGTCACTCTGCCTACATGCAAGTTTGTGACTAGGGACCCCCAGCAGCATCCTCTGCCTGTCCCTGTCACCACATGCCCATCACTGTAGGACTTTCAAAGAACAGAATTTAGAGGACTTTCCCCATTAGATAATTATAAATTACATCAAATGCTGGGTTTAAAATCTTGATCATGACAATATACTGTATAAATAAAAACTTCAAGGACAAATGAGGAGAAACTGGGTGTTTGGTATAGCAAATTCTCTTTTAGGGCTCAATCCTGTGTGTCTTCAGCAAAGGTAAGGCAACTGGAATTTAGGACACTCACCACCAACCAGGACATAATCTCAATAATTAAGAGACTAATCCAACTAGCTCTGGAGTTGGACCACATCCTAAGGACAGATGAACTGTTGAGAAGATATGGTCAGATTTAGGTACTTAAAGATGCAGATAGGTGCCTAGTGGGATTTTCAAATGTGCCTACACATGTAACTCCCATAAGAGTTAAATGCCTAGGTGCTTTAAAAAATTCCACTAAGCACGTATCTGCATCTTTAGATGCCTAAATACCCTTGAAAATCTGGCCCTTAGGTTCTAGAGTGTGCTACCAAGGTGACTTTATTAATAATTATTTTACCACTTCTGTTAATAGTAGCTACTGAATTTCTCTTAAAACTCACAATGCTTTGGTGATTTCAAAGGAATATAAATTATTAAATGAAAATAAAGATAAATGTGGAAACAATAATTATCAAAAACAATCTCATATTGAGAGCATTTAGTGTCTGAAATTATGCTATTAGCTTTGTCTAGTATCTTCATCTCAACATATAATCCAAGTATATGAATATAGTAACAAGTGTGGCAAAGTTCCTCCTCTATCTTGGTGGGTCCTGCTATTTTTGGCGGATTTGCTCACCTCAGAGATTCACGGCAGCCATCAGTTTGGCCACTTCTGCTACAGGCTCAAACCTGCCGCACACTCAGCTAACCTCATCACTGGCCAGCATGGGGGAAAATGGAGAACAATCTTCACAGTCTCTGTTGTCCCATGTAGTGGGTCGGGGACAGGCCAGATGCCTTTCCAAATTAGACTTTCCCTTCTGGTGTTGCTCACAGACCAGGTCAACTCCTCCTGTGTCTAATCAGGAGTTGGAGGAATGGGGGGAACCTGGGACCGCCCTCTATACCGGGTTCCAGCCCAGGGCCGTGGATAGCAGCTGTCTACGTCTCCTGTAACAGCTGCGTGACAGCTACAGCTACAACTCCCTGGACTACTTCCCCATGGCCTCCCCCCAGCACCTTCTTTGTCCTCACCACAGGATCTTCCTCTCGAAGCCTGATCACGCTTGTACTCCTCAGTCCTCCTCACTCCCTGCTCCTTCCACGTGCTCCACTAACGGATGGGAGGTCCTTTTTAAACCAAGTGTCCTGATTAGCCTGCCTGCCATAATTGATTCTAGTATGTTCTTAATTGGTATTCATTAGCTTGTCTGTCTTAACTGGTTCTAGCAGGTTCCTGATTGCTTTAGCACAGCCCCTGCTCTGGTCACTCAGGGAACAGAAAACTATCCATCCAGTGGTCAGCATATTTGCCTTCTACCAGACTCCTGTACCTCACTGTTCTGGGTCTGTCACACAAGGCACAAGCAAATTCATCCAACAATCACCCATCCCCATGGTAGCCCAGCTACCATCAGAGTCTGGTAAAACAATGAAAAACAGATTCAGATATGACAAGTGATTCAAGAGATCTTACCACATTGTGTGTTCTGTACTTCTATACTTTCCATTTTCAATTGTATTCCTATTCTTACCCTGCAACTGTAAGAAAAGACACTCTCTCAACAGTTCAGATCAGCAATGTTCACAAAAAGCATACACACAGTATAAGTCCATCATGCCAACTTCCTTATAACATCCTCCCTCCTCTTCTGGTTATTTGATTTTTAAACTGCATGCCATATGACATAAACCCAAATCAGTGTGATCAATGAATGAAAAAGATTCCCTTTGGAAAGGTATCATTATAAGGTAATACACTACTGCAATTATAAGGGTTTTTATCCAATTTCATTTTGTAGACAAAGTAATTTGGTTCTATCATTGCGATGTATGTAAAGATAAAAACTCCCAACCTCACACATTTTTAATCTTGATTGTGTTATTTATCTCAAAAAATCTGCCACACTTTCTCCCCCTACGTCTGGCTGCCAACTTACTTCAACTGCTTGCTGATGATATTGAACTACTGGCCAATAAAAAATTAGTAGTTTAAGTTTTCCAAGGAAATCTATGACCTTCTAGTTCCTGCTGCTACCACTAACGAGCACAGGTGCCAACTTTTCCCAGCACCAGTGGGTGCTCGACCCCCCCGCCACACCACTTCCCAGCTTCCTCCCGCCCCTGCCCCACCCCCATTCCAACCCCTTCCCCAACGTCCCCACCCCAACTCCGCCCCCTCCCTGCCCCATTGGACTCCTTCCCCAAATCCCCACCCCAGCCCCGCCTCTTTCCTGAGTGCACCGCATTCCCCCTCCTCCCCTCCCTCCCAGTGCTTGCTGCCACAAAACAGCTGTTTCACGGCGGGAGGCGCTGGGAGCTAGGGGGAGAAGCAGGGATGCAGCGCGCTGAGGGGAGGCTGAGCGGAGGTGAGCTAGGGTGTGGGGGGCAGGGCAGGGAGCTTGGCTGCCGGTAGGTGCAGAGCACCCACCAATTTTTCCCCATAGGTGCTCCAGCCCCGGAGCACCCACAGATTTAGCACCTATGCTAATGAGGAGCAACCAAATCTTGTATTGCATACAATAATGACTGTTTAAAAAACAGTATGGATCAAAACCAGACACACTTGATGGAACATGGACTACAGATTAAGATTTTAATATTTAATTGATTAGTAAAATTCGCATATTTTTTATAAAATCAGAAAAATTCACAATTTCAACTCTAAAAACAATCATAAGGGCCCAGATCCTTTGGTCTGACAGAACAGCTTTCAGAGTGAGACTTAGGAATGGGGAGCACAAAGGTAGCTTAAAGCCACAGTCCCCAAATGCTTGGGCAGGTCTGCATCAGTCCAGACACTTGCAAGCAAATTAGAGCAGACGGAGACATGCTGTAAATTATACTGACTACCCGCAGCTCCCAAGAGATTAATCCAACAACTGAGGATTCCTGGAGCATAGACATGATCCAACTGCATTTCCTTTTCCCTGGACATGCCAAATATGCCAAGGGTCAACAAAGATTGGCCTCAAGTCACCTTGGTATCTTTAAGCCTCTCGTAGATTCTCCAGCTCAATGTGGGAATTTCAAGGGGGTTGGTTAAGCCAGTTTTATGGCTACTTAGTGTCATCTTAGAGTAGTGCCTTTGAGAAATATCACAGTGCTATCATAAAAGAGGACAGTTCTTGCCTTCACTAAGAATTATTTATCTTCCCTTTCCCTCATTTCCTCACTGCTTCACAGAATGGTTCACGTACAAGGACCTTCCCAGTCCCCTCAAATCTGTCAATCACACAAATCACTTGAGAAGGAGAGGTTGAGTTTTTAAGCAGGAAGGACTCTTCTTCCATTCTCATTCTATTTTTACTATTAAACACACACATTCTTTCTCTCCTGATCCTCCGCCAATGACAGAAAACTCTGTAGCCTCCCAGTCTCCCTCTGCTTCCCACAGAGGCCACATTGCGAGGCAGACAGAATACTAGATCAGCCTCCCATTTATTTATTTAGCGAAGGACTGACCTCTCTCACCTTGGAGCTTCAAGTATCATTTTCAGTTCAGCTGAAGTAATTTTTTTTAAATTTATGATTACAAACATGATTTTTTTTCTAATGTGCATTGCTAGTTTTGAATACTTTTAAGATCAGATTCTATTTGAATATTTTTAAATGGACTTTTTTGAGAGAGATGTACATAAAATATCATTTTATAAACCTCCCATTGTTATGGATCAATAGATCTGCTTCATTATAGTATCACAGACCAGAGCCAAGATGAGTAAGTCACCAGGCTCTGCTTCAGCAGAGAACTTTTGTGAAGCCTGTAAGTTCGATATAAGATAGAAGACGAAAACATTCTCTCTTCTCCGTCAGCTACAGATATCAAACCCAAATAATATTTTCTCAAATACAGGCCTATTTGTATTTTTGTACAGCAATAAGGAAACAATTGGCTTATAATATTAAGAAATGTACCTATAAAAATGAGATCATGCATTTCAAAGTGGATAAGAACATTCCAGACACTCAACGCCCGGATTCAGGCTCTCATATGAGCTGTGTGACTCCATCATTATGCTGTAACACTAAATAGAAAGGAAAAATCCAAAATTCTCGCTGGCTGCTAATTAAGCCCTTTTTAAAAACTGTAAGTTTTTAAAATCCTAGGGATAGATTCTCAGCTGGTGTAAACTATCACAGCTTCACTGAAATCATGACAGTTTATAGCAGCTGAGGATCTTTATATTTCCAAATATACCACAGTGTTTATCATTCATTGGTAACAACTTGGTGAACTTACAACACTCAGGATGGTCATTTCTTATCCTCTAGTCTGCCACCTATGTGTTCATTCCATCTCTCCCCCCCACACCCCACAATGACTCTCATATGTTAATGATTTCAATGTGTGTGGGGGGGAGGGACGGGAAGGACAATTAATTGCGGGAATCAGACACCAAAACCGCAAACTATTGGTCCACTCTACCCCACCCCAAACAGACGTTAGGGCTTTTAAAGTCCCACACTAGACAGAGATCAGGTTGCAACTCAAGTGCTTTCCCCCACCCATTCTGCTGAGATGCCATGATTACTCAGAGGTTGCTTGAGCTTTCAGGGCACCCCTATCCCTGTACAATCAAAAGGCCTGCATGAACATAAGAACAGCCATACTGGATTAGAACAATGGTCCATCTAGTCCAGTATCTTGTCTTCTGACAATAGCCAACGCCAGGTGCTTCAGAGGAATGAACAGAACAGGTAATCAGATGATCCACCCCATTGCCCATTCCCAGCTTCTGGCAAACAAAGGCCAGAGACACTTCAGAGCATGGTTTTGCATTCCTGTCCATTCTGGCTAATAGCCATTAATGGTCCTATCCTCATGAACTTATCTAGTTCTTTTTTGAACCCTGTTATAGTCTTGGTCTTCACAACATTCTCTGGCAGAGTATGCATTGTGTGAAGAAATACTTCCTTTTGTTTCTTTTAAACCTGCTGTTTATTAATTTCATTTGGAGACCCCCTAGTTCTTCTCTTTACTCCTTCTCATAACACTTCCTTATTTACTTTCTCTAAACCAGTCATGATTTTATAGACCTCTATCATATCCCCCCTTAGTCATCTCTTTTTCAAGGTGAAAAATCCCAGTCTTATTAATCTCTACTCACACCCCTAATAATTTTGGTTGACTTTTTCTGTGTCTGCTCAGGCAATGGGGACTCTAGGGCACCATCACCTTCCCAGAGTCAGTGTGTGTGGGTGGAAGACAGGGGGAGCAGCACTCTGGGCAGCAGGCCCTAGAGCCAGGCACACTGGCCCCACCTCTCAGGTAACAAGCCAAAGGGCAGAATGACCCCTTTGCCCCTTCCCAAAGTTACTGCTGTGGGGGAGGAGGCTTGTCCTAGCTGGCACGAGGCTCTAAGGGTACCGGTACACTGCAGTTTGACACCCATGGGTGGCCCATGTCAGCTGGCCGGCGTTCATGGTCTGTTTCACTGCGGTATAGACTTTGCATTGAGCTCTGTGACCCCCCCACCTCACAGTGTCCTAGAGCTCAAGGCTGCGGCAGGAGCGCGAACATCTACACGCCACAAACAGCCCTCAGCCCAGGCCAGTGGCGCACGTCCAACGGCAGTGTGGACATAGGCCAGTCACCCGATTAGCAGCTCTGCCCTGCCGGCATTGGCACCAGTGCCCACAAGCTGCAGGGGGTTGCCTGTTCCCGCCCGCAGAACCAGTCTACGTGGACTGAAGGGGCCGGGCCCTGGCCCTGAGCGCGGCACCGCGCACGGCGACGACTGTCACGAGCCGCCTCTCAGAGCCGATGCTCGCGCGGTTGCACGGCGCGCGCCTGCGGCAAAGACCTGTCCAAAGGCAGGGCTGGGCCTCTCCCTCCCTGCGGGGCGGGCTTCAGTCACCTCACGGAAGATGGGAGAAAGCAGCCACCTTTCACTCAGAGACATACCAGCCCCAGCCCTGTCGCTCCGCGGGAGACCCCCGTGCGGCGCGGCCCGTGGGGCGGAACGCTCGCTCCTGCAGGGCGCCTCAGCCCCGCGCCTCGTGGGAGGCACCCGCTGGTCTCTCCCGCCTCAGGCTGCTCTGGCGGACAGTTGCGCGGTTGCTGGAGGGCAGCTCGTGCAGCGCCTGCCAGTGGGCTCAGTCCTGTACCGCGGCCCGGGCTCAAGCTGAAATGTAGGGCACGGCCGATCCGAACTAGCGCCGAGTTCGCCACGCGCCAGCTTCGCCCGTAACCCTCCCCGGTGCCCACCCCTGAGCCGCTGCATTTATTACAATCCCCACGCCCTGTCCTCCCTTCCCCAGTGAGAGCTGCCCATACAGAGGGAAGAACCTGGCTGTCCCCTCTTCATGTGCCTGGAGCCAGTCTTCTACAACCTTGGGAACAATGAGGACTCACTGCTTGGTGGGTTTCTTCTGGCAGAGGTGACAAGGATAAAAGCGTCTCTCTCTCGCCCCCCATCTCTCTCATCCTTTCCATCCAGAATGCTTTTAATAGTAACACAGTCTTTAGCATTTTTTGATTGCTGCACAAAACTGCATAGTTGTGTCACAGTGGTGCCAATCCTCCCTCTTGTGGCTTGGGGCCCAGGTTTGAGAAGATTTTCCCATAGGTGATTATACTCCCAATTAAAATACTGTTCTAGTACTTCCTTCCATTAACAGGTTTCAGGTACAAGAGTTTATTATTTTGCTTAGCTTTTATAAAGACAGGTTTCAGAGTAGCAGCCGTGTTAGTCTGTAGTCGCAAAAAGAAAAGGAGTACTTGTGGCACCTTAGAGACTAACAAATTTATTTGAGCATAAGCTTTTGTGAGTTACAGCTCCCTTCATCTGAGGCATACACTGAATGCATCCGATGAAGGGAGCTGTAACTCACAAAAAGCTTATGCTCAAATAAATTTGTTAGTCTCTAAGGTGCCACAAGTACTCCTTTTCTTTTATAAAGAGGTAATCATGGAACAAGCAGATTGGTTTAAGTCTCTGCTTTGACATAAGTCAGCAAAGTGTAAGTGACTAAATTTAACTTCTGATACCACAGAATAAGACATTGCATTGTTTGAAGGCACTTGAAGAAATAATGATCAGAAAATTCTACATATTACATGAAAACAAATATCTTCCATTTTATGGTATGATTTACTTGTCTTATCCTCAGAATAAAATAATAAGAGTACCCTTTATTTGCAATAAGATTTTAATATTGAGGAAAATACAGAAAGGTTCAGTTAGTGGTAAACATCACACTAGTGATATTTTATAGAATGGAGCAAACCTGACATCAATTACAATTTCCAACATATATATCGTAGTTGTTCTACAACTGGAAAGTTGCTGAAGTCTGTGACATTCCACTGTAAATATAGGTGTTATTAAAAATTACAAATTGTCCTGTAATTACTTTGACAACCTCTTGAGCAGCAGCACCTATTAAAGGGAAGGGGAAAAAAGAATGACTTTGGTGGGTAATTATATTTTAAAAAAAAACGAGAACAACAGTATCTGGTCTAGCTTTCAATATAAAGATGAAATAGTTTGACAGATTGAGTTTAAATGCTTTCCTGAATCATGGCAAAAAGTAATTTTCGTATTTGTTTTTCAATTCAATTTTTTAAAAATGCATATACATATAAGTTTACGTAAATATTTTTACCATGTGAACTGGTGAAAAAGAAACTGATCTTTCTGAATAAATGCAAGAGAAGTGTCTACATCCCCATAACTGATATTTTTCCTAATCAATCATTTTTCTAAAACACTTCCTCCCCTCCCATTCAAAAATCCCCTTTCCTTTTAAAAGAGATTATGCAGTCCAGAGTCTGAGTATTGGAAAATTCAGGTGATAGAAAAATTAGCTAGTAATTAGCTTCTCTACAATGTTTCATTTCTTTTTAACTGTTGAACAAGCTCTTACATTTTATTTTATTGCTATAACCCCTTTTAATACCTCTATAAAAATACTGTGTTCACATTTTCTTTGCAATTATAGAACACTTAAGAACCCAGATCTTGTCTTCATACATTTTTCTAAAGTACCATGTATACCCATGGCAATATAATTTTCTTTAACCTTAAAAAAAAAATCCAAGTTGTGTATATAACATTAACACTTTAACTGGTACTGTAAGACAAGTAAGCAAAAACAGTTAAGATTGCAATAATACTTCTATTATATACATTTTAAAATGATTTACATCTTGGTTATAAAATATTTATTGCAGCCTGAAATAAGGCAATGTTGGTTAGGTACAGATTTACAAAGTTTGCAGAGTTAGCACTGTCTACACTGAAATTAGAACTAAATTAAAATTAGTCATATTGTATTATTGTTTCTGTCAATGATACTTTCACTGGTCATATATACACATTATAAATTTTATTTTAAACTAGAGTAATAAAAGCACAAGTAGTATAACTGGCCTAATAAGGTCATTTTGTAATTTTCCATTATTTCTTTTATTCCAGTCTGATCACTTTCTCAGCCAACTTTTTCCATATAGCATACGACACACTGACTTTAATATGTTGCAGTACTAATGCAGCCTTTGTCTGCAGCCCATAGTTATTCCCTTTTCTCCAAATATACTGAAGAGGAATACCATTAAAATAATAAAATATAGCTCAATTGACAGTTCTAAATGGATCTGTGAAAATAAAGTGGTATTCTTACCTCCCAAGAATGCAGCGATAGTATGTGGCTCAGCAGCTCCATAGCGACAACTACATAGCAAAAAATAAAATAATCAGTATTTTAGGGCAGTTTAAATAAACTAATGAAAGTGACATCTTATCATACAATACTTACAATTCATGGACATAATCATCCTTCACTGTTACAGACAGCCCATATTCCTGAAGAAAGCTACTGAGGCAAGATTTCAATTTTCCAATATCATCTTCCACTTGGTAGTTATACACTCCTAGGACATAAAGTATGAGCCATTTCTCCTCACTGGACTTTAATATGCCAGAGTTTTAACAGGTCCAATAATTTTTTAAATTGTGCTGGGATTACCTTCTTTGTTACTGCAGTCATTAACGTTTTTATTCAAGTAACATACATTCGTATTTAATTATAGCTCTAACAATGTCGATCAAATACCACTGATTATGTTCATTCAGCACAATAATAAATCATCATGTAATTTAACTATAATTTTTACAAGCAATTAAAACCATCATCATCAATCTGCATTAATTTGTTAATCTTAAGAATCTGGTCACTTTGTAATACTTGCACAATAAATGTACTCTAGTTTAGTTCAAACATTTGCTTAATCATGTTTTATAGTTCATATGTACTACTGTCTCATAAATTAGATTGTTATATTTCCAAGAGTGACTGATATATATATATATCTAAAACTATTGTAATAACCTACCTGGGTATCTACCATGCTGTTTATAAAATCTATCCACAGCTCGTAGCATTAAGTATAGCACTATCTCACTGTCTGGATTATCCATGCTGGAAACTGAAAATGATAAAAAAAAAAAAAACAACCCCCCCCACAAAATACAGATTTTAAATTGGTTTTAAAATAGACTTGGAGACTGATGGAATGAAAAAAATACTTCACATTTACTTGAATGTAACACACATTTTTTACAGTTTTGCCACCACACCCCCGTGGGAGACAACTGAGAGGTTTCCACTTCAAGCTTTGGTAATGGATTGTTTAGATATGTAATTTCAAATGCCAATGATAAGTGACTAATTATACTAAATGTTATGTACCTATATATTTTTATATAATCTCAGTTTGGAGCTGTCCACGTGTTCCTACTTCAACTCCACCAATGTCAACAATTGCTTGCTTGCGATATTTACCTCTAGTCATAATTTGAGTTTCAAAATTACACTTGGCAAAACTTGATTTTTATTTTTTTTTTATAATTGTGATGGATATAGTCTATTTTTAAGCATTTTTAAATATTTTTGTTGATTTAAATACACAGTTGCAGGAAATTATGGGGGGAGGTCAGACAATTATTTTAATGACAGTAGACATTGAGTCTCAAAAAGTTAAACTTTATAACCATTAGAAACACAAATTGTCAACATCACATCAAAATACATGAAGTACATATCCTTACGTCAAACTCTTACTTCAAGAAGATTTTTCTTATCTGTACATTTTGATTTTTAAATCAATGGAACTATTTTTTTTTTGTTCATTTTCATTCGTGAAATCAGTGTTTACCAATACAAATCTAATCTTTCCAAGCCTATTTATAATGTATATTTAACAGAAGAAAAACTAAGGGCAATAATTATATAATAAATGGAAGTCTCCTTACGATAGGCACAAAAAATGATGTAGGGACAATATATATTGAGCTTTTTAAATGTAAAATTTAAAAAGTTCCTAAATTATTGTACCCAACTTAATATGCACCAGTTCAAGGAAATTTTACTTATGTACTTTGTGAATGTGACAAACAATTCTTTTGGCCAAAATATTATGACCAGACTGAAAAGACACACAGTAAACGACTGCTGTTTTCTAAACAAGTACTGTTTCTCTTTTAGTATTTACCTTGGAATTTGGAGTTATATATGTTTGAAAAGTCTGTAGCAGTTATATGCCTAATTTTTATTTAATGATCCTTTGCCACACAATTTATTCACAAAAAACAACAACAGTCAGTGGCTAAAAAAGAAAATTAATCTTTTGCTCCCAAGGAAGAACCCTTCTAGTTCCTGTTACAAATAACTAAAGTCAGACAGGAGAAAATATAATTTAAAGACTATAACACCTTGATGAGGATGAATATTTTACTTACATGGCTGCTGAAGAGAAAATATCTGCCAGGGAAAACTACCACACACATTAATTCAGTGGCTCATCTTTGAGCTTTTAAAAGTAAATTGTCAAAAAAAAAATTTCTTTAAATAATACTTTGAAATATATACAATATGTATTTTCTATTTAAGCATGGTTTTCATGATAAAAGAAAGAAGTTTAAAGAAAAACTATGAATAAATAAAAAAATAGAAAGTCCTTACTAATTTCATCCTTGTTAAAAGTATTTAAACCATACTCTTCAGACAGGGATCTACACCGCACTACTCGAAGAAACGCTGAGTTGCTGCCTAAACAAAGAACACCGAAAAGAAATACTGGAGCACTGATTGCAAGGGTGCAATATTTTCTTCAGGCATTTCAGAATTTACTTACTGTTAAACAATGTAGAGTAAATCTATCACCAACTGATGTCATTTTAGTTTTTATTGTATTTCTTCAGTAGTGCAATGTAATAAAATCTTTTAGATAAGAAATGTTTCTTTAGAGGTTTATGAAGGTAAACAACTTTATTAAAATGTTCTATATTTGTGTACTTCAAAATTCCAGTCATGTTGCCTATTGCACATGATAAGGATTGTCAATACATGTGGTACCAGACTCCAGACAGGATGATGCCCCACCCTCCTCCTCTTTATGGTCATCTGTTGGACCACAGGCATCAGCCCCACATTTTCTTCCTCTAGCCTCCCAAAAGCTGTCCTCTTTCCTAAGTTGCACTAAATAGTGCTGCTTCCTGCAGCGCTGCCTACTCTTTCTCTAGCAGCAGGCAATCTAGAGAGAGCAGCATTCTAAAAACCAGTGGTTGGGGATGGGCAAGAGTGAACCTGTGGCAGTGGTAAAATGGCAGAAAGGGGAAGAAAAAACTAGACAAATATGGATGAACATAGGGAAGGGGGAAAAAAACACTGCAAACAAACCAAAAACTCTAAATACATGCCGCAACTACAGCACTTCAAGTACAACAAATACTTATTGTTTCAGATGGCTGCTGTTTTTCTTGGCATATGCCCTAGTATTTAATATACAAGGGTAAAACAAACTTTGCCCAAACGAACAGTAGTTTCATCCAGAATCATCAGTAATTAATTCTATTTATTTTATTTTTGTGGGCATATAACATTCAGGCATCTGCCTATAGCTTTCCATACACCTTATTCTGACAGGCACTAAGCACTTGCAACTTGCATTGAAGTCAGTGGGAGAAACTTGTGTCCATTACTTCTCAGGAAGAGGCACAACATTTATAATACAAAAGAGATTCAAATACTGAGCTAGAGATTAATATAGCTACATTGTGAATAATTTTAAGACTTCCTGAAAATTTGTGTGTGCATAAAACAAGAATGATGTAATGCTAAATCCAAAGATACTTACAAAGCAATTTTAACTCTTTCTGTGAGATTGACTCTGGTGCCTGCAAAGGAACAAGAATATGTTTGTTCCTGCACAAGGCAATGAATGGTTAGATTTACATTTTTAAAATTATACTGAAATGGATGTTAGATCAAAAGTTATCCAAGGAAGACTTCTTATGTGTTCATATGTCCCTTTCACTAACATTCTAAATAGTCACAGGAAAGTACACACAATGCAGAAATACACACACTGTGCGTATAGTGAAATCATATTGGAACTTAACTACCACATTCTCTTGGAGAGTTTTAGTAAAGTCAGCTCTTTACTGTCTCTATTTTGCGCCTTTCCCCATTCTTTACAGATTACATGGAAAATTATTGTCCTTTTGAGATACATTAAATGACGTTATAACATAACTACCTTGCCTACTGACTGTAACAATTTAGCAGCATGGTTACCCACAGCAGCAGCATCTTTCTTTGCTTTTTCACGGTATCTGTAAAGGGTCAGAAATAGTTTTAATAGTTTAAACTGTAGTTTAAAGCTACAGTTTTATTTTAAGAGCCTGAAATTGAACAACACTTCTATAACCCTTCTTACCCTATCTGTTGTAAAATGAATAAAGTCAGAAGATCAGCTACCTCAGCAGCAGAAGAGCCAATGGTACCAATCACATGACTGTTTTGCTGTAGCTCTAAGCTACTTGTAGAAGCAGCTTCATAACTCAGTGCACTGGAATGTCTTTGCAATTAGTAAGCATTAAAAGGAATATTACTGTGGAAGGTTACAGGGCAAAAAATACTAATTCCTTTCAACAATGAGAGGACCAGCACTAAAGAAAACTTTGAACCAAATGCACTATACAACTACAACTGACCAATTTTTATATTGTATTTTATGATGTTTTAACTGTATTGTATTAATTCTTTGGGCAGCAACCCATGTACCTCAGCAGCAGGGCACACTATGAAGCTCAAAGTGCTACACCTTAAATAACAAGGGAACCTAGGAAGACGCATCGTATCTGGCCACAGCACTTTTACTGAAGGAATATCAGGACTCATAGAAACCATCCTCAAACCATATGCCACACAAAGGGCCAGCTTCCTCCAAGACACAACTGACTTCCTCAAGAAACTCAAAAACAACAGCAACCTCTCCCAGAACACCATCATTGCCACCATGGATGTCATCTCCCTATACATCAACATCCCGCACCATGATGGCATTGCTGCCTGCTTCAAACACCTTACAAGATAATGAACAATGCTTGAAAATCCAACCCAAACACATCAAACTGATCCATTTCATCTTCACCCACAACTTTACATGTAACAACAAATACTCTGTCCAAACAATGGGAACAGCTGTGGGTACTAGGATGGCTCCCTAATATACCAACTTTTTCATGGGCCACCTCGAGAAGAATTTCTGGGCAAATACACCATGAAACCAATGATATACCGGAGATACGTTGATATTTTCATCCTCTGGAGAGGCAACCTAAACTCCTTCACAGATTTCCACTACAGCTTCAACCAACAAACTCTTTCTAGAAAACCACCTCCACACCAGCATCAACTTCCTGGACACTAAGATCAGCTTCAACAATGAAGAACTAGAACTGACTATACATAAAAATCCCATCGATCAAGACACGTACTTCCACGGAACCAGCAACCATCCCAGACACACCAAGAAGCCTGTTGTCTAAAGCCAGGCACTCAGATACCACAGAATTTGCTCAAAAGATATATATCTAAACACACTTAAAACTGCCTTCACTAAACAAGGACATCCCACCAAATACCCCTGACGGAACCTGCTTCAATACAGAAAAAAAACCCAAAAACCTAAAACAAAAAACGCGCTGACCACACAGCCCTAGTTGTTACCTGCTATCCCACTCTAGAACACATATGGGATATCAAACAATTGATGATTTTATCAAACCACCCATACTTGATGGGGACCACATCCTGAAAGAAATCTTTCCCAAATGCCTTCTTCTGGCATTCAAACAACGTCCTCCCTCCCTCAAGCTCATAATCAGAAGCAAGTTCCCCACAGACCAGGACACACCAGCTCAAAGCGGCACCAGACCCTGCCAGAATCCATGAAAATCCATTGCTACAATGACCAATACCTCCCCACAACACACCTTTCAAGGTCCATGGGTCACACACATTCTTATCACATGTGGTATACCTCATCCAGTGCATTAAATACCCCAACAGCTGTGTGGGTGAAACCAGATAATCACTACTCTCTCAAATGAGCTCACAAAGCAAAATGATAAAGGACCCTACAGCCCATGGACAAAACACTTTTCACAAAATGATCATTCCATATCTGGCTTCTCAATCCTCATCCTTAAAGGAAACGTGCACAACACTTTCAAAAAACGAGCCTAAGAACTGAAACTCGTAACTCTGCTGAACACTAAAAACCATGTACTTAACAGAGACACTGGTTTTATGGGTCATTACAACAATTCGTAACACACCCCACTGTCTTCTAATCCTTAATTGCCCACTTCATTTTAAATGGTCTCCAACAGCATGCAAAGAAACCCTTATGCTTAACAATTTATCATCTTGTATTTAGCTCAGACACACTGGTTACTTTCTCCAAACTGAGGAAGAGCTCTGGAAAGCTCAGAAGGTTGTCTCTTCACCTACAGAAGTTGGTCTAATAAGAGATATTTCCTCAGCTACCTTGTCTCTCTCATATCTTAAATAGTTATTTTCAAAAAATTTTTCTGGAATGAAACGAAACATTATGCTAATATTCCTTTTAAATATACACTGAAGCGTATCAAGGAATTATTCCTAATTTTACAAAATAGGTCTGTAAAACAATATAGACCTTCAAGAATTTAGAGAACTAAAAATGTCTTTCATACCTATGCAAACCCAATAATTCACTTAATACTTTGCTGTAATTTCATTTTTGCAGGATGAGGCAACGGGTTCATTTTTTCTCTCCTTACATGGAAGGACTCTTACTGGGGAACGCTCTCTCTCCCTCCTCCTCCTCCCAAGAGGAAACATTTTTTACAGAACTCTCCACAAATATATTAAAATCCAATCTACATTATATTTGAATGCCGTCTGTGACGGTTTCGGGGACATGTCTGTATTGCATTATTAATTCTGTTTTGTTTTATGAATACCATTTATGATTGCAACTGTTGTTGTAGATTAGTACATCCATTTTGTATCTGAAGCTATGTCCAGAAAGCTGTGGTGGAGCAAACAGTGAACAACATTTTTCCTACTGGATTTGGAGCCTAAAAATTTGCCAAGACTCAGACTACACCGAGGACTCATAAGGGTCATGAAGTTACACTGAGGGGCAACGCGTTCAGGACTGTTTGCAGTTTTCTCAAGAGCTGTAACTCTAGTGCTGCTTAAAGAGTAAGTGTTTATGGTTAAGAACTTCCTTTGCTAAAATGTATATTTTCTTGTTTTACTGCCATATTGTCTCTGAAAAGGTTACCTAGAAAGCCAGAGCTCCCAGAGCCAGGTGCTCTCCTGGAAAATGTGTCTTAAGCAACTATGGGACTTGGGAGGGCTGAGGCACTGGTTCTGGGATCTAGGCAACCAGATTGAGCAGTTCTACTGCCCAAAAAGAGTGTCAGACATGAGACGTTTACACCACAGAGCATGCTTAAGAGACCCAGAGGTAGGAACAGTGATCACTTCCCAGAACCAGGGCGCTAAGAGGCATGTGGGCTTCAGCAGTTGGATCCAATCAGAACAGACTGGTGTCCATCCAGATAGGAGGGTGGGACTAGGTTATAGCACCATCTAGAGTCTAATTATTTTTTTTAAGTGAGCTCTGAGAATTTGGCCCATCCTGTGAAATCCAAATCAATGCCCTTCATTACTATAATGCTGATTGTCTTTGAAGAAGAAACTCAAGTACTTACACATTTTGCAATTTGATAAATTTACCCGAATCTGCTATCATATCAGGAATAGTGCCCCGAACAGGTAAATTTCCTTGCCCCTCTTTTGCTACAAATTCCTTTACAGCTCGAGCTAAAATCCAAAAGGAAGGTGTCTGCAAGAGTACAAACAGCAGTAATTTATTTTTCTTGTACACAAAAGTATTATCTGTATCAATATTCCTAAATAAACATCTTATCCTCAGTTACTCTTTTTACCTGCTGTGTGAGATTGATGCAACGATCATCATTAAAAATGTCTTCAATACAGCTTGGAATCTGTAAGAAAAAAAATATATATACACGTGTATTTACCCAAGTTTCTTATTCAAGAATTGTCCCAAAAGTAATTATATGGGCAATTCAATATCTAAATGACGTTAGACTTTCTAGGCAAAAGTCATCTTTTCTGAACCTCTACGAAAGAATCTGTCCCACTGGCTACAAGTACTTTGGGAGAAATTACCTCTTTACTATCATATTTAGAAAAGTGTCAATTGCTAAAAGTGTAGGCTTCTAATTAACCCAAACTTTACACACCAAATCTGTCCTTAGCAACACCCTTGCAATTTCAATGAGAACTGGAGAGGATTTAAGATATGAAAACATTTGCCCCTAATGTTAGGAATTACATACATTTAGCAAGGGCATCATTTCAGAAAAATTCTGGGGGCGGGAGGAGGGGGAAAATGTGTCAGTATACAGACTATTTCCAGTCCCAAATAGCAACACAGATTAAAAAAACTGGGCAATTATTGCTTTCCTAATGACTCCATCCAAAGTTGGGGGAAAGGGAGAAATATAACTGCCCACCCTATAGCAAATGATGCTTTTGGCATTTAGTTTTGGTCATGTTAATAGATTCTGGTTATGTCCACACTAATATTATTGGTCAAATAGGAGTTTTGTTCCATCAAACATTCCTTTAGCCCTTCACAAATCAATACAGTATGTTAACTGGACAGTAGACCAGTTCTGCAGTAACCTGAGGCTTGCTAATAAATACGAGTTGTACGTGTCTTCAAGAAAAGCTTAACACCTCAAATACACAAGATCATGTAACAATGTCTTCCAAAACATAGTTTGTTATAAGAAATCCATAGCACTCTAAGAACTTTCTGTAGATCTGTTGATTTATGTTAAGAACTGGTAATTTCTATGCAAATTAATACTTTAAATTGAATAAGAGTTGTAAAATTTATTTCACACTTAATTCTTTTAGACACTCATGAAAGTACTGCATGTTCACCATAAGTGATACTGTGGCAATGTTTCTGACACTGATTTTAAAGACTGTGTTCTACTATCTGACTTTACTAAGTATTTTTAATAAATTTAACTCCTCAGCAAGGAACACAAGACCTTTAACATTAGTTAAGCAGCAGAGCTTAGAAGAAGGAACATATCTTTCTCTGATACAAACACCCAATTTCCATTAAAAAAAAAAAAGAGTCATGTGATGATATCCAAAAATAAGCCTTACTCTTCTTAGGACCATTTAAAAAAAAAATTAGTTAATGCAGTGTTTATGAAAGTGAAAGAAGAATAGCTCCAATCGGCAGTGTGGGGGCAGGTGCTTTGTACGTTTCCCAATTCAACACTGCCGTTGTATTACAGCCCAACTGGAACTACCCTCTTGAGCACATACTGCTACTCCTGCCAAGTTGTTCCAGAATGTCTGTTTGGTTTATAGAGAAAGCGATTAGGAGGAGGTCATCAAACTAACTTTGACTGTAGATTTGCTGGGGAATTTTTGTTCTGAAAAACAATGATACTATCAAAGATACGTGGTCCCCTTAGCTCTTCAAATGCATTATGTTCATCATCTAAAACTTAATAAACTACTTTTACCTTAGTAACATTTAGTGCTGTGTTTACATTTTTTATAGCTTCTTCAAAGTTCTCTTCATCTTCTGGGATCCCATTTTCATTCTTTAAAATTCCTGTTTGAAAAGAAACAAGTAACACAAGCAAAAATACAAACTCCACCTCCCACATTACATTTATGTCCTGGCAGCATATTAGATTTTCTCTGGGAGAATCTGTGACATATCACTGTTCTAGTTCTGTCATTACAAAACATATACATCTCACCACATTAACAGACAAAAATGGCTACCCTCTCCCTCATCCATGTGTACAAATACTTTGATATGGTATTAAAAATACTTTGCACTCATAACACCTTCCATTGTAAGATCTCAAAGTTTATGTTATGAACATTAATGAATTAAATGTCACAATGTACAAGATGTAGGGAAAATGCTATCACCAGTTTTACAGATAGGGAAAATAAGGCACAGATGGAGCATGTGATTTGCTCATGGTTATATAGAAGTTCAAATCAAAGTCTGTAACAGAATCCAGAGGTCCTGAATTTCTGTCCGGTGCTTTAATCCATAGAGATATAGATAAATAAGATCATTCTCTCTCTCACGTACAACTGTTTCTTTATCTTATACATATCAAATCTGATGTCTGTAAAGTGAATTGCAGGTTATGAAACACTGAAGCTCTCTCTTTACTTGACACAAAACAAAAATATAGTTGAATAATAAGTAAGAGGAGATAAGGAAATGTTACTGACTGTAAATATTGTTAAAATTTCTACTGTTTCACTTTAATACTTACTCTAGGATGCAGCAAAATTCAATTGGCATAAAATGCTGCACTTCAATTCTACTAGGAAGCCAATCTTTATTTCAGTGCAAATAAATTATTTATTGAATAACTTACAGTGATGTAAATAGGATTTAGATATCAAGAGAAAAACAAATCCATTTGTTAGTACTAGTAATTAAGTCTGTTTATAACTGGAAAGAACATGGCCCTGTTTCTATAGCAATTTAAAATGATTTATTTACATTTCTTTTAAAAATACTCTGTACATTTTAATGCTTGTGAAGGGTGCTAGATTGACAGCCCTTAACAGCAAAGTCATCCATCCAAAGACTAATTACAATATAGTCACTAGATATGTAAATTTCTCCTTGCTACCCACTAATGGGTCTCTCCACAGAATCACCACTTCTTGGGCTGAGAAAGTAATTCAACATCCATGCTCATCTTAATCCTTGACCTTTCTGCTGATGCAGTTAAGAAAAGAACTAACTTTGAAACTGATCTGTATGTGTGCATAAGCATCCACATTCATGTGCAAGCATGAGAGATGTGGACACAACAGTTGGAAAATAAAATAGGTACAAACTTATTTCACACTGGCCAATCAGCCAACAGATATTTTTAGGCTGGTTTTATACTAGTGACATAGCCTCTCAATTCCACTAATAAGGAAAATTCAGTCCCCTACTTTAGCAAAATTTTAATGTTAGAAAAAATTAGATATGTTTTCCAAAGTTAGCATTTGTCTTTTCTTTAAAGAACTACAATAGAATGAAGGTCCTTGCCCTTGCTTAGAAAAAGAAACAAGTATTACCAGCTGGCTTCATAAGCAGACTCAGGATTCTAAGACTCACCTATTCAAGAAATCATGAATCTGCATTGACATAAGTTCAATTTCAAGCCACAGTGACAAGTTGTGTCTTGTATAATGTCTTTTCATAGTGGCGAAAATGCCCATAACATATATTACCTTGTCTAATCAGCTCTCTGAAGGCTTCCTTTTCTTTGTAATTCCTAGGTATCAGTTCACTTTTCTAAATTGAAAGTATAAATAAAACAGATAAATATATAACAATTCTCCTGTCACATGACTACCTGCTAGATAGTTTGTGTCAAAGTTAATACACATCTATGTGTGTTTCAGTAAGTGATAAAGGAAACATAGGGTAAAAATCAAACCAGGCACTTTTCAGTAGTTACAGGCTTCACTCAGTGCCCAAAAATAAATCTTTGGACACTGTTCAATGAGGTACTTTTATCACCTGTCCAATTCTTTTTTCCTCCCAAGTGATCTAGTTTGGAGTCAGATATACTTTCATTAAAAGCCTACAGTAGAAATACTGGATGCTATATGTTTGATTCATAAGACATTATCAACATACCTCATTGTACCATTTTGCTAAATATTTTGCTACAATCACAATCCATGGAGTGTGGCTATGGTCCTGCAATCAACAAACAGAAAAAAAAATATCTGCAAGTAGTTAGAAATAGGTTATTTCTTTAAAGCTAACAGCACTGTATGTTAGATCACCACAGTTTGAAAATCCTGTAATATTGAGGCACAATAGGAGAGTTAAGAACCACACTGCTGATTCCATAAAGTTTCCTAGTTTTTGACAGCAATGCCTGTAACATTATGTAAACAGATTCTGAAATTAAATGAAATTTCAAATAAGTTTGTCAGGGATGGGATGGTATCCCCTAGCCTCTTTGCCAGAAGCTAGGACTGGGCAACAGGGGATGGATCACTTGATGATTACCTGTTCTGTTCATTCCCTCTGAAGCACCTGGCATTGGCCACTGTCAGAAGGCAGGATACTGGGCTAGATGGACCATTGGTCTGACCAACTATGGATATTCTTATGTTTGTCATATCTCAAATAAATCTTAAAAAGGGGGAGCAAATAAATAATAATTTTCTATAAAAGTTATGATGTGCTCAATTTTGAACTTTTACAAATAATCCAGGAAATAATTTGATGGTCAAAAATGCATTATATAGTTTAAAATCTAAGTCTGAGAACTGCAAATTGCACAATTATTGGTAACTGTCCTGCATGTGAATTTAATAATTTTAATTAAGTTTAAGCCCTCTTAGATCGAAAGGTCTAGTATTATCATCATTAGGATAGTGACCACATGTCGCAATTTCGATAGGGCTGGCCTATATTTCTAATCTCCTTTTTCCTGCCCTAACCTACTACAGGAAAGCTAAAGGTCCTTCTTTTTAATATTGAAACTCCCACTGTACTCTCTTTGGAAAGTAAGACCTGCTGCTAAACCTGTGACAGGAGCATGAAACTTGTATTTCCACAAGTGAAAGATTTAGGCCACAAGTCACTGTTTAGAATCTTCCTTCCCAATTTACATCTTAAAATGAAGACCAATTCATACCCCTCGGTTCTGTGAGTACTCACATATACTATAAGTATCAAATACAGAAGCAGTTTTTATTCTTGCTGTATTTTTTGCACTAATATAATGAATTTTGAAATCATGCCAGAAGAAAGCATTTTTAAAACTAATTCGCCTATCTTCACACTGATCTCAAATCAGACTCCATATATTCTTGACATAGCAAGTGATTAAAAAAAAATATTTAATGAGCAGAAACATTTAGAGATCTGGCTTCTGCACCAAACTGAATGATCCAACACGTATCTGACCAATTTCCAGAGTTCTGGCATGCCTAATGCACCATCAGGGTCAGGGTAGAAACTTCCTGAGTGTAAGTGGCCAGGTACTCGTTTACTTGGAAGGACAAAACCTTGTCTCAAGTATTGCTGAAGAACGTGCAAATTAGAGCTCTGTATAAGACCAAAAGCTTGTCTCTTTCACCAACAGTTGGTCCAATAAAAGATATTACCTCACCCATCTTGTCTCTGCACAATGTCAGTCAGTTTCCATTATCTGACTGGAAAAAACATTTTCCATACGGATTATCTATTTGCTTTCCTAACTGCTCAAGCGCTACTCATACAGTAATCCTAGCCAAAGTTTTTATTTTTTTTAATTTGTAGGTTTGGGATTTGCTGTTTGAACTGAGGGTTCCAGACAATCATTGTCAAAAACCCTTTTTTGCTTTCCTCCTTAACTAGGGATGGCCATGCTGCACAGAGATCAAATAGAGGCAGGTGTGAAATGGTGGTTTAAATTTTACCTCTGCACTCTCCTAATCTTGGTGCTGCCCTGTGAAGGTCATTCTATCTGCCCTTAGGCTGATCTAATTTGTACTGGGTTGCAACGACTACAGGGGTCGAAAGACACAGCCAAGGATTGGCATAGCACAGGACATACCAGCCACATCCTCTTTCCTCCTCCAGCCATAAAGGGAACAAATGATGCAAGAGACTTCATGTTGGCTCTGTACTACCACTTACCATACTTTTATGGCCAGATTACACTAATCCCACCTAACATAAGGAAGGATGTTTCCCAAAAATGTGGCTTCACAATGTGTACTATGTGAAGTGATGTTTACAGTAGCACACAAAGTTTGGTATTTTAACTCACGATTAGCTTTTGTGATAGCCAAATTCACTGAAGGTGTCCACAGTTAAATCCTTTAAAAAAAAAATAAAAAATAGGACCCTATGCAGGAGGAGAGACCCATCCACATGGAATTACTTGCAAGAATGGGGCCTATTTTGAATGCATTTTAGAGCACAGAATGCAAGTCTCATGCCAACCTTTTTTTCCATATGATCCAAGTCATAAGACTGAATGTGTTCCCTCAGCTCTGGAAATGGGTTGTCCAGTCTCAGATCTTCTAATACATTGTCTGGATGAGATTCCACAACTGCCAGAGATACACAAGATAGTTTAATTTGAAAGATAAACAGGACAGATTGTTACAAAATTACAGGTTACAAAACATAGCAGCAAATATTCAGTGCTTGGGTATTTACCTATGTGAGTCCCACTAGCATAATTACACATTAATGGAAGTAGTGCCTCATTGTAAATGTATTCCATAATATAATGCAGTATAGCATTAGACAAAAGTCTCCCATTTTGCTGCATCATCAGGTTAATTACTTGTTGCATGCAATTTTCAGTAAGTCATGTCCACAGCTAGAATGATTTTTATGGTGGGAAATTCCAACTGCAAATGCCAAGGATATTAGTTAACACTAAATACTTCACAAGGTAAAAATGAAATAGTTCTTTAAACATATAAATCTACATATAAAACTTCTAGAAAAGAGCTTTCAATTCCACTTTTAAATCTATTTAAGTCCAATTTCTGAAGAAATCTCTTACCTGGATGTTCCTTAATAATAATTCTCATATAGCCAACTAGTCCATAAGTCCTACAGACTAACAGAGGGATGTTAGAATTCCAGAGAATTTCAGCTAAACGTACCAATATACTGAAAATAAAAATAAAATGACTCTTAGAACGTACAAGAGATAATCAAGTGTGCAACAATAATTTAAAAAAAAAAGTTTCCCATGAGAGAGGACTTCGAAGCTAAAAATAGAACATGACCAAAAGGATGCCATAAATGTATATGCAATAAGATCAGAAGAGATATTTTAAATACTACACCAAAAAGACATTACCAGATAATTTATAGCCATAGACTCTTTAATATTGCATTGATTTCTATGGTCCCAAGCTTTTAAAAGGTCAGTTAAAAAACAAAACCAAAACCACGAATGTAGGCAAATAAAATAACAATTGGAAAGAAAGAGATCAGTTGGATCCATAAATTGTAAAGTGGAACTCCTAACAGACAGTCCTGACAAAGCCACATGAAATTCTTCTTACTAATGTGTGGCAATACAATTCCATACACAGTTAGAAAAGAGGGAGTTGGATCGTGATAAAGAGACCTCCACAAAGACCTGAAGATATCGCAGATCCCATTACATGTGAGGCCTCAAATTAGATGACCAAGCTGACATAGCTATGGTGGATTAGGAAGATCTCCCTCACTAGAAAGAAGAACTCAACATTTAAATGAATTTGGAGACCGTGCCTTACAATGAGTCAGTACAAAAACTTTAAAAATTTGTGTATTAACACACAAAGGGTATAATGAAAATCACCACCATAAAGCTTTCCTGTCTATAAATGTTGCATATGACAGCAAAAAGCGATGTTGCTTCACATAAATTATATCTTCCCACAATAAAGCTGCAAACAAAACTGTAATTGTAAGAAGACTGAAAAATATGAACAGGACTCTACCTTTCTGGTAACTGGGTTGCAATGACTAAATTAAACCGACAGAAAAATGAAGGATCATTGTCTAGAAGTTTGTCTGGACTCTAAATAAAAGTACAAAAAAATTCACATACATTGGAACATAAATTTTGCTTTATCTTAGAAAGACATAAGCATATCAAAAGTTCAAGTGAACATGTGTGTTCAACACTGGACTTGGATTCAAAATGCTAGATGTGGCTTCTGAATCTTTATCATCATTAACTACAAACGTTATTTAAGTATATACTTAAATGAACTTGACACACATAATTTGAGATCTTATTTCCAGATCTGTATTATCATAAAATTCTCACATTGCAATTACAGATAAATTTGTAACTAATGATTTTATTTTGTCATACTTTGCCATGCACTTAAACACCAGAACATAGCAAGGAATTCAAGGATACAAACCTCCTCCACAAAATTTCCTGAAACATCATTATTTAATTCTTGTAAGAGCTCTGTGGCACTTTGGGCTCGGTTCTGTTTTAAAACAATTAAAAATATACCTGTTTAAACATATCTATAATTTACATTTATGTTTTACATACCTTACCAATAGCATACATGCTATATTACAAATAAGTACATTATGGAATATTGATATAGTTCAACTATTTCAAAATTCACGTTCACCTTAAAATCACTATGTAATAGCAAGGATTTTGTTTGAGCCAGACTTTCCTTTAAAAAAAAATAACAGTCTAAAAATGGAAAAATGTAATAACTGGCTTATATCTAATTTTAAAAATCACTGTATTGGAAGCACCATAAGCTCCTGATGCAGCTTTCTTAAGCACTGTTAAGTTAAAAGCTAAGCAAGCTCTAATGAAACTCCGAGCAGCGACAGCAAGAAGATATTGAAGTGAGAAAGAGCTATTGAAGATACTTACAATGTAAGAAGGAAACAGCAGAAGAGGAGGCCAAAGGATGGGGCGAGGGGAGGGAAGGGTGACACAAGGGAAGATAAGCAACAGCACCTGCTAGCAGAATGGTGAGGACAATCCCTTAATAAGACCCATTCTTTAGTCTTAACCATTCTTATAACCGCTATAGTTCACCAATATTCAAGATTGGAGCTTATCTCACTTACCGTATATGTTAATTAACTTTAGGTAGATGGCACAAACCCAACTAAAGCTAGAAAATGCAAGTCAATGTTCTTTTAGATAATGTAGGTCCCCTCACCATTTTAAATCTTTTTTGTAAATAATGGTTTTACAAAATCTTTTCTACTGATAGACTAGAAACAATAGTGATGAACAGAGACAGAATACAACTTAAGGGTTTTTTTAAGTTAACAAAACTGCCCCCTACTCCCTCTCCACTCAGAATCTTATTGATTTCTCAAAGTTAAAAAAAGAAGAAGAAAAAAAAGAGGTAAGACCCCGTATGACCTTCTCCATCCCTCTCCTCGCTCCAGTGCACACTCTCCTCCTCCACTCTCACTGACATTGAAACATCTTCCCTATTCTCCAGCTCTTCCCTGTGCCCCAGTGACCCATTCCATCTCCTAACCTTCCTAGTCCCCTCAACCTCTCATTTTCAAGAGGTTTATTCCCCTCCCAATTCAGCCTCGGTCTTCCGCACCTTAAAAATTCACCATGGGCCCTGAATCCCCTTCAGATTATCATACACATTCTCTTCTCCCATCTCAAACAATTGTCTACAACCATCATCTTGAGTTTCTTTCCTTAAGTTCCATTCCACACCCTATTCAGTCTGGCTTCCACCCTCATTATTCCACTGAAACTTCTCTAACCAAGGTTTCTAATATCTTGCTAGGCATAACACGGGCCTAGTGCTCCTTTCCCATAGACATCCTGAGTCCCTCTGACACAGTCAACCATATCCTACTCTTGGAATCTTATCCTCTCCTGGTTATCTTACTACCTCTTATTGTTCTTTCAGTGGGCCATCATTTCCCGCACCCTGCCCACTCACAAGCAGCAAGTTATATGGACCTGTGGTGCCCGTGCTCCACCAATATTCAGGAACGTAGGCCTGGCTCCACCAATGTTTGGGCTTATATTTTCAGAGCCGTCCCATCCATAGGATGGGCCAGGGCAACCACCCCAGGCCCCACGCTTCAGGGATCCAGGACGGCCTGGGGAGTTAGCGGGGGCCCTCATGCCAGCAGCAGCGAGCGACCCAGACCCAGCCCGCCCTGCCTATTCCCACCCCTGCTCCGCCCTGCCCCCAACTCCACCGCTTCCCTCAAGCCCCCGCTCCCTCCCTGCATCTTTCCAGCTTCCGCCCCCTCCCCCTGCCCTGGACCCTGCATCCCCCGAAGCGCGGAATGGGATGGCTCTGCTTGGACCCATTCTGAGCACCACCAAAAATTATACAAACCTGGTGTATAAAAAAACTACTTCAGGTTTTGGTGCAGGTCTCCCAGGGCTTTATCCTTGCCTCCCTTCTGTACTGGATATCATCTTTTTTTTTTAAACTGATGACAAATCTACCTGCCCACCCTGGACTTGTCTTTCTCCATCAAGTTTAAGTCACAGCCAGGCTTTTCAACATCTCCTTGTGGGCATCCAGCCACCCATTTACACTCAACATGGCCAAAACTGGGCTTTTGTTCCCACACATCTCCTGAAGCTCTGTTCTCCTCACTCACTACTATAGAAGAAAGGAATTTTTTATCTGTGTATGTCTAACTTTCATTTTATACACAAATCACTCTCTCAATATACTTACAAACCGTATTTAATATTGCTTTACCTGGCCAATATTGCTTCTTTGTAGAAAGAAACTGAGAAAAGAGAGACAGTAGAAAGCGACATTAATAATATCTTTCACAAAACTAAAGCTTTTAAGCTTCCTTCCAGTGAAGAACGTATTATATAGCTTCATGCAGAACAAAAGAAGTCCTTTAATATCTATTTCCTTCAATTATTAATTTTATCACATCTTTCACATGATTTCTTTGAAAACAGTCTTTTTGAATCTTGTAAAGTCAGATTTTTAAAAAAGCGTTATCCCAGTCCCGAAAGCCCCATAATCTGCAAACTCTGTAGCACATGCAGAATTTCACTCTTCCCAGTGAGGAACTCATTGCAGGTGAATGTTCATCCTGCTAAATAATTAAGGCCACTATTCTCCTAAATTTTCCATGCAGAGGGACCCCTACGCTCACAGAGCCCTTCTAAAAATCAACAGAGCTTCATGTGGGCGCAACAGTCTGCCTGCACCTTACAGGACCAGGGCCTAAATTATTACCATTAAATATCTACACAGAGTCCACAGAAGTTGCATTTTTATGTAAATTTACATATATTGTTTTATTTATGTAAGGGTTTCTAGTCTTTCCCTAACTGCATGCATTTTTCAGGAGTTATGGAAGCATCTGAAGGAACAGCACGCTTCTTCCTTCTCCAGACCTGAAGAACTCTGTGTAGCTTCAAATCTTCTACCTTCCGCCAACAGAAGCTGGTCTAATAAAAGATATTACCTTACCTACCTTGTCTTTCTAAATAAAAGTAATAAGTTTGATGACAAAACAGTTTAAAAGCCATGAAACTATATTTAGATATATAACAAAGTTAGGGGAAACTTAAGTCACAGTAGGAGACTAAGATATTCACTACACTTCCTTGTATTTTTTTAAGAATATGCTCTTTCCAACTAATGCACTTAAAAATAAGGCAATTAATAAGAAACTCCCAATTAATAGGAAGTACATTTCACAACTACTCAAAAATCTACCCCGAAAACAAAACAACCAGTTTGTTTTGAGCATAACTCCTACAGTTATAGAAAGTTAACCATTATTTTTAAACAGCACTTAGTAAAACTACTGAAACCTTATCACTGCTTTATCATTAGTAGAAAACTAATGGTAAACCTACTTATTTCCGACATCTTCTCCAGTGACTTGATTCCCATCAACAATTGTAAATGAGCCAATACCTTGAAAATAATACAGTAAGAAATATGCACTCTTAATTATTCAAACTGAAATTCTTACTAAAATTTACAATTGAAATTTATTTACCTGGTAGTACTAAATTTTTGAGGATTTCAGTTCCTGTGGCTGTTGCATTTATCATACAAACATGAGCAGCTTCTAAAGCTTCTTGTCCATGATCTCCCCACAACCTACAAAACAAGGAACACAGAAGCATTCACAGGAAAAAGTAACTTGTGGTAGCAAATACAGTCTGAATGGCAGTGGGAATCTGATGTCACAGTCCATGTGGTTTAGCATACCATTTCCCTGTACGCTATTAAGTAGTATATATCAAAACATGATTTACACTGGGAGTTTTGTCACCGACTTCAGCAAGGCCAGGATTTTGCCCTTAGTCCCTTCAGATCTGGGGGAAAAAATGACTATGGAGAAGACAGGACAAAAGATTCCAAACTGTCAAGCAACAGTTAAATCATTCATATTGTTCTGTAAGACTTAAAAATAAATTCATGAACTACTGCAAGTGCTTTCAGACAGTGGTTCGCAGACATGCTCCTCTCTCACTGCTGAAGATTTGTCTTCAAGATGCAACACAGTCTGTATGGTGACCCAGTACAGATTTTTTTAAGCGGTTTCCAAAGAATTATTTGACCAAACACCTAATTAGCTTTTTGACCCACAGCAGGTGTAATTCTAGCCTTTATGGTTGCAGAGATAATTTCCAAACATGAACCAAAAATGAATCCATACTGTTTTCCTGTAGACTTACTCTGAATAGCAGCAGAGGTGCTAGAGCTGTAAGAAAGATATGGAGCAGTCTCATTAATTTTCACTGCTGTTACTGGAAACTAGGGAGCAATGACTTTCTCAAGAATCAAGTCATTTTCACCCCAGTACAAGTTTATTAAACTCTGAAGATAAGCAGACACTTGAGCTATTGACTGGAGAGTCAGACTCAAAAATGAAACTAGGGGAGGAGTAAAGTAGCTTAGTTTTTTTAAGTGATGTGACAGGTAAATACGCCCTTCCCAATTTGCAGCCTTAACAGTGTTTTTTTGAACAAAAGCTTTTGGAATATTGACAACTACTGAATTCCCACACACTTTATAATACCGATTTAACGGCTGACATAAAATGCATTTTTAAAAGAATCCAGTTATAAAAGCATGACATATGGACATCCTCTCCAAGAATTCACTAATGAGCACTTTTTGGATTATAGAAATAAACGAGGCAGTATTGACACTTATCATAGAATATTAGGGTTAGAAGAGACCTCAGGAGGTTATCTAGTCCAATCCCCTGCTCAAAGCAGGACCAACACCAACTACATCATCCCAGCCAAGGCTTTGAAAAGCCAGCCCTTAAAAACCTCTAAGGATGGAGATTCCACCACCTCCCTAGGTAACCCATTCCAGTGCTTCATCACCTCCTAGTGAAATAGTGTTTCCTAATAGCCAACCAGACCACCCCCACTGCAACTTGAGACCATTGTTTTTTGTTCTATCATCTGCCATCACTGAAAACAGCCGAGCTCCATCCTCTTTGGAACTCCCCCTTCAGGTAGTTGAGGCTGCTATCAAATCCCCCCTCACTCTTCTCTTCTGCAGACTAAATAACCCTAATTTCCTCAGCCTCTCATAGTAAATCATGTGCCCCGGCCCCCTAATCATTTTCATTGCCTTCCGCTGGACTCTCTCCAATTTGTCCACATCCCCTGTGTGTGTGTGGGGAGGGAGCCAAAACTGGATGCAATACTCCAGGTGTGGCCTCACCAGTGCCAAATAGAGGGGAATAATCATTTCCCTCGATCTGCTGGCAATACTCCTACTAATACAGCCCAATATGCTGTTGGCCTTCTTGGCAACAAGGGCACACTGCTGACTCTTATCCAGCTTCTTGTCCAGTGTAATCCCCAGGTCCTTTTCTGCAGAACTGCTGCTTAGCCAGTCGGTCCCCAGCCTGTAGCAGTGCATGGGATTCTTCCATCTTAAGTTCAGGACTCTGTACTTGTCCTTGTTGAACCTCATCAGATTTCTTTTAGCCCAATCCTCCAATTTCTCTAGGTCACTCTGGACCCTATCCCTACCCTCCAGGGCATCTACCTGTCCCCCCAGTTTAGTGTCATCTGCAAACTTGCTGACAGTGCAATTAATCCCAGCATCCAGATCATTATGATCAGAGCAGATGGAAAACTGCCTCCTCTATGCCCCCAATTAGAAAATGTTGAGTTTCCAACAAAACCATTGAGTACCAAGACATTTCAGTCGTCAAGGGCTTGTTTTGCGCAACAAAATCGTTTTTCACAAACATTAACATCCTCAAACCCTCAATTTTCCCCGAGGCCGGTGTGCGCGTGTGGCCAGCCCCCTCTTCAGTAACACCCGCCCCGCCACAGGCGGCGGTGAGCCGAGCTGCCCACCCACCACGCCCCCGCCCCCGCCCCGGGGAGCGCTTCGGACCGGACCGGACCGGGACACCGGGAAGCCGCCTGGGGCCAGACCCCGCAGACCCCAGGCAGTGTGGGGCAGACCCCGCGGGGACGGTCACTAGCCAAGCCGTGAGGCGCACCTTGGCGCGGGGAAGGCAGCGCGCAGGGCCCCACAGCCTGGTACCGCCGGCCCGGCAGGCGGCTGAGCCGGTTGCCCGGCAGTCTGCCGGGCGGCCCCCCAGGAGAGGGGGGAGGAGCGCTGCGCCCTCCAGTGGTCCAGGCTGTAGCCCCACCCGGCCTTGGGCCGGCCCAGCGACCTGAGAGCCGGCCCGAGGCAGCCCCCGCTACCTGAGCTGCCGGTCGTATTTCTGCTCCTTCATGCTGAGTCCGCCCTGCTGCGCCATGGCGCCGGGCCCTGCCGGTAAAGCACCCGGGGTGCGCGCTGCCCTCTCTTGGACACCGTCCGGATCGGCCGCTCTGCTGTCACTGAGCATGCGCGATCGATCTGGACATGCTCAATGGCGCCTGCTGAAGGCACGGTTCTCCCTTTGCCCTTCTCTTTGCCATCAGGATGCAGAGGATGGATGGGCGGGGTCTGGGCAGAGGGCAACACGTGAGTCCACAGGACGATAAACCCTGTGGGGCTGGAGGAAGCAGACAGACACAATTAAGGGGAAAGTGCGGGAGGTAGGGTAGGGGGAGGAGAAGCCCTGCTAGGCAAGTAGCTGGGGTAACGCCAGGGTAGGGAGGGTCTGAGGGGATAAAAAATAACAAATGGAAGGGCACAATCTACAGTGTTTGGGCTGTACATATGTTACCTAAGTTATTAGGGTATGGGTGAACCCTTTATTTTGCGTGTTTGTTTCCGTGTTACAAAGTATTGAAAGCTGTGGGTGGGTCTTGAAAATCACTAAAACATGTCATATGTAATTTATGAACAGTTCCTTTGCAAAAATAAGGTGTGGGTGACACAGGGCTTTTCCTCCCCAGTAGATGATCACTTTCAGTCCTACATCCCTTCCAGGTGTTAAAGGGGACAGTGTAGCCCAGTGTCTACATAAGGCAGCTTTTCTCCATCTTAAATAATGTACTCAGCAGCTTTCCTTCCTCCCCCTCCCCTGAATTGTTTCATAATGATCATACAGGTTTTTCGTGCTTAAAATAACTCCTTGTCAATTTACTAAGGTATAACTTGTCTGCATATAACCTCACAGCAGTTCACACATTTGTCTGCTGGTCATATGACTTTCCTTTTGGCGAGAGAGGCAAAATAACAGAATTATAGTTTATAAGCTTATAACTTATAAATGTCTATATATTTAAAAGAACATAAATTGTTGGGCAAAAGTCAACATGGTTTCTGTAAAGGGAGATCATGTCCCACTAACCTCTTAGAATTCTTTTAAGAGGTCAACAAACACGTGGACAAGGGGGATCCAGTGGACATAGTGTACTTAGATTTCCAGAAAGCCTTTCACTAGGTCCCTCACCAAAGGCTCTTATGTAAATTAAATTGTCATGGGATAAGAGGGAAGATCCTTTCATGGACTGAGAACTGGTTAAAAGACAGGGAACAAAGGGTAGGAATAAATGGTAATTTTTCAGAATGGAGAGGGATAACTAGTGGTGTTCCCCAAAGGTCAGTCCTAGGAGATCTGAAGAAAGGGGTAAACAGTGAGGTGGCAAAGTTTGCAGATGATACTAACCTGCTCAAGATAGTTAAGACCAAAGCAGACTGTGAAGAACTTCAAAAAGATCTCACAAAACTAAGTGATTGGGCAACAAAATGGCAAATGAAATTTAATGTGGATAAATGTAAAGTAATGCACATTGGAAAAAATAACCCCAACTATACATACAATATGATGGGGGCTAATTTAGCTACAACTAATCAGGAGTAAGATCTCGGGAGTCATCGTGGATAGTTCTCTGAAGATGTCCATGCAGTGTGCAGCGGCAGTCGAAAAAGCAAATGGGATGTTAGGAATCATTAAAAAAGGGATAGAGAATAAGACAGAGAATATCTTATTGCCCTTATATAAATCCATGGTACGCCCACATCTTGAATACTGCGTTCAGATGTGGTCCCCTCATCTCAAAAAAGATATACTGGCATTAGAAAAGGTTCAGAAAAGGGAAACTAAAATGATTAGGGGTTTGGAATGGGTCTCATATGAGGAGAGATTAAAGAGGCTAGAACTTTTCATCTTGGAAAGGAGGAGACGAAGGGGGGATATGACAGAGGTATATGAAATCATGAGTGGTGTGGAGAAAGTGAATAAGGAAAAGTTATTTACTTGTTCCCATAATATAAGAACTAGGGGCCATCAAATGAAATTAATGGGCAGCAGGTTTAAAACAAGTAAAAGGAAGTTCTTCTTCATTCAGCACACAGTCAACCTGTGGAACTCCTTGCCTGAGGAGGCTGTGAAGGCTAGGACTATAACAGGGTTTAAAAGAGAACTGGATAAATTCATGGAGGTTAAATCCATTAATGGCTATTAGCCAGGATGGGTAAGGAATGGTGTCCCTAGCCTCTGTTTGTCAGAGGGTGGAGATGGATGGCAGGAGAGAGATCACTTGATCATTACCTGTTAGGTTCACTCCCTCTGGGGCACCTGGCATTGGCCACTGTCAGTAGACAGGATGCTGGGCTGGATGGACCTTTGGTCTGATGCAGTATGGCCATTCTTATGTTCTTATTTATCTTTTATAGATAATATTAATGGATTCAAAGGTAAAATTAATAATTGAGTCTCTGACTACTAAGGAAATACATAGCAGAAGCTTCCTGAGGAATTGCGGGCAATTTATTTAATACTTATTTTTATACTTTACATGAAGTTTAGTGTGACATTTTTGATAAATTGGATTTAACAAAACTGTAAGAGAATATGCTCCTGATGCAAAAAAACTCCCAAAATAAATAAAAACAGCACAAGCATGTTAATCTTCAGTGATAGCTTCACAAGGACTACTCAGTTTCTAACAATTGACTCTGATTAAACGCTTTGCTGAACCTAGGCTTATGACAGTAGCATGTAGTATGACTACAAACGTGTGACACTAACAATAGGATGGGCTTAACTTTGGGCTCATCCTACAAATAGTCAAACTTTGATTATTTTTAATATATAACTATGATGAATTTTCAAATAAATTACTAGTTTGCAGCAAGGTATTTGGAAGATAAAAATATGTACGAAGGGGACACCACGCAAAAGACCCTGAATTTGTATAAAAAGAAAAAGAGTAATTCACTTAATAAATCAGGTAAGAACTTTGTTAGATATTTTTAATGAAGCTAGCATAGATGGGAAGGTAAACAGGATGACTAGCGTAGATGGAAAAGTGACTAGATGACTAGCATAGATGGGAAGGTAAACAAGATGACTGGCAAAATGTCATGTATAGGTACAGTGGTATACATCACAGGTTTGATGTTATACACTAAATGTTTTGCTTATTGCATGAATAATAGACTTAGTTTGTATAAACTGAAAAAATGTTTCATATTGAAAGAGCATTGAAAAATAATAGGAAACAGGTATAATTACCAGCATACAAGGACCAGATTAAGACAACCAAAAATTAGAAGAATTGTTAATTTTGTTTTTGAAATAAGTGACATCCATGAATAAGTTCTGTTTTCATAGCTTTCCTCATAAAAATCATTTAATTAAATCATTGATTTTGTATTCTGTTGGATACATTGGATATTGGATTGGACATTCTGTTTGGAGAACTACTGAATATATTGCAGCTATATTGACTTCCAGAATGACAATGAAGTTGGGATGATGGTGAGAAACAAAAAAATTGGGATATGTGTATACAGACTAGGATTGCCAACTTTCTAATGGTACAAAACCGAACACCTGCCCTGCTCCTTACCCCGCCCCTTACCTGAGGCCCCGCCCCTGCCCCACCCCTTCTCTAAGGCCACGCCCCTGCTGACTCCATCTCCCCTCCCTCCACTGTTCATTTTCCCCCACCCTTTCTCACTTTCAGTGGGCTGGGGCAGGGGTTGGGGTGCAGGAGGGGGGTGAGCGCTCCTATGGGAGCTGAGGGGCCGGCACTCAGGGCAGGGGCAGTGCACGGAGGCTCCCTGGCCGCCCATGCATCTAGGGGCCACAAGGACCTGGTGGCCACTTCTGGGAGCCCCGAGGAGATAGGGCAGGCAGGGAACCTGCCTTAGCCCCAGGTCCCCGCTGCGCCATCAACTGGACTTTTAACAGCCCAGTCAGAGCCGCCAGGGTCCCTTTTCAACCGGGCATTCCCGTCAAAAAACGGGCGCCTGGCAACCCTACTACAGACATAGCCACCATGGAATAACCTAGATAAGGATAAGGCTTGTGGTAATAATTTGATATTAATGAATATTTCATGCACAGCTGAGAGTAATAACTTGGTTACTGATTAGTACTGGGGGAGCTGGTAGCAATACCTTTATTTAGATTGCCTAACACTTTCCCTTTATTGTGATCTTTTCCTTAAGGAGGTCTTACACCTCCATTGTTTCCAGCAGACCTTTGATACTTGATAGGGGAAGTCCCCTCAATATAGAGAAGTGCCCTTCCTTTGTCCTGTGAAATTCCGTTCAGATTTATTGGAGAGATATAGTATTAAAAGTCACCATTTCCCCTCTCCCTTCCATTCCTCAGAAAGATTTTGGCAGCCTGTCAAAATCACTGAAGCTTCCAATGACAGACTCATGCTACCATCAAACAGCAGCTGATACTGCACTGAGAACACCTGTGAGCTGCCAAAGCAGCTGTAGCGGGAAGGGGGAGGAGAGAGTTGGTCTTCCCCTCTCAGCCCTTACCCTGCTCTCCCAACCTGGCATATGGGCCCCATGGGGGCCCTCATAGGGCAGTAGTTTCCTCATCTTTGGAGAGTGGAGGCAGCAGCAAAAGAGAGCCAAGCTGAGCTTCTCCTGGAATGCCCCCGGACCTAGCATAAGGCACAAGCTTCCCATCTTCCTCCCTGGTGACACCAGCTTACCCAGCTCTAGGAGTGGGGAAGAAGGAGCTAAGCCTGGTTCCTCTTGTAGCTCTCTCCAGTCCCAGCATATGGTACCAACAGCCCTCGTCCCCCAGGGCATTACATGAAGCACAAGCCCCCCCCACACACACACCTGAGCTGGGCAGGATCCCCATGCCCACCCTCTGAACTCACCTACTCTGAGGTAACAGCCTTCTGCTGCTGCCACCTTATGTAGTTATTCCTGTAGCTCAAGTGAAAGCAGTCTGAGCAGCAATAGTAAAGGCTACGGGTACATACCCGGTAGGTGGTGCATAATTAGGAGTGGGCTGTTACAGACACATAATAGAATTGGTTATTACTTGTGTCCTTAAAACACCTTGGAAATTACATACAAAAACTATGTTAAAAGAACATTATTTAGGTCTGCAAAGTCAAGCACTCAAGGGTTTGGAAATGCTAGCTTTATGGTTTCCAGAGCAACCTTAATGTCTGCAGCTAGATGGGAGGAGGAGTGAGGA